CTAGAAGGGGGGGGGGGGGAGTCCGGCCTCCCTAAATCCGCCCCTGCCTGGAATTGTAAGGAAAGCATCTTATCCACCAAACTATTTAAACTCCACCATGTCACATACAGTATGTACAAAATACAAGAACAATGAAATCTGGTTTGATTCCTTATAGACAAAACCAAAAACACATAAATTTAAGACTTGAGTTAATTATTTAATGCCCTATTAATGGTGGAGGGATAAATGCTCAACAGGGACCTGTGTAACCTTCGAACTTTCAAGGACTCTATTATGGGATGTTCCCGCGGAGTCTCGCTCTTGTGGGGGTTCGTAGACTAGCCAAGCTGCGTCTTGTTGGAGGCTCACACTTTGTATAGAATAAAACCGTTAACATCCAGCTTACTTGGTGTCTGGCTCATTCATTGAAGTCCGAACTCATCTAGTAACATCCGTAGAGAGTTACACTGGTGCCGTGACCTGGCGTTATCTTCTTTTACCGGAGATAACCGAGCCGCATCATCAGTAGTGTGCAGCCTCATCATCAGCTAGCCGACCAGACTCATCCCACATCACGCGCAGCGAAGATTGTATCTTTTCATGTGTCAATTTTCCCTAGGCCACAGTATCTATAATAATTTTTTTTTTAAAGCCTGTGGTATATATATCCTTGTAGGTTATATGGTTTCAGTCCTAACATCCTTTATTTCGTATATCCCCCATAATTTTGTTATTTCGTCCGTCTACCTGTACACGTATATCATCTGTGTAGGCCTACGCTCGCTGAGCGTGAATCAGCTAATTCATTTTGCATTTGTTGTTAGGTTACGTACATCGTTGTTAGTATTGCTAGGCCTAGGCTCGCTATAGTTATGGCACCGGGTAAAAATTCTAAGAAATCCTCATCTCCTCCCCCTGACCTTAATCAGGGTAGTAGTAATGCACAACCAGCTGGTGCTGGTAATAATAGTTACCTATCGCCGTTAAAAGTTGAATTACCACCATTCTTTGTTGGGAATGGAACTGAGGCTTTCAGTGTTTGGTGCCGTAGACTTGAGGTGGCTTTAAAAAAAATTAAAAAAAACAGAAAAAAAAACCAGAACGAACAAACACAGAACAGAAACAGAGGGACAACCAGAAACAACAGTACCACAACAACAAAGCGACAGCATGCGCAGGGGAGCGTACCGGTCGCGCACATAATTTTTTTACGCATGTGGTTATAGAAGTTAGGATTTGTTTTTCCAGGTTTTAGTGTTAGTGGCATGAGGGTCTTTTCTCCTTGTTTATGGGGAATTGAAACCGTCCATGCGCGCGCGTAATTTTTTTACGCAGATGTTATAACAGTTAGGATTTTGTTTTTCTTTTGGCTCTAGTTTAGCTGGTGTTTGGGCCATTCCTTGCTTGCGCGGCTTGCGCGATTGTCGAATTGATTCTGATAAACTTAATAATTTTCACCGTTTCTGATACTACTACAAGTTCCATGGATTATTGTTTGCAGATAATTTTTTTATTTATTTGGAGGGGATTATTGTTTTCTTATTTTTCTTCTTCATATATGGTACCATACGCAATTCGTATGCTACATTGTATTATTATCGTGGGGGTTCGTCGACTAGCCAAGCTGCGTCTTGTTGGAGGCTCACACTTTGTATAGAATAAAACCGTTAACATCCAGCTTACTTGGTGTCTGGCTCATTCATTGAAGTCCGAACTCATCTAGTAACATCTATAGAGAGTTACACCTGCACTTCCCAGTCACTCCGTATCATGTGCTCATAAAATAGGGAGCAGGAGCTTGGTGGTGAAGACAGGTTCAAGTCATCAGTAGAATGTTTTCCAATGACTGAACACAAACTCAACTTCCAGGCCTTTTGATGGACTACTCTACTTCATAGAGCACCACTTCCATCCCATAAGTGGTGACTCACTTGCAGTTGGTTGGATGACAATGACTTTTTTTATGGCTTGTATGATCAATTCAAGGATTTTTATCGCAAAATGTCTGTCAGAAATGTCTGAATTGTTAGTTGACTTCAATATCTTTGATCCTTTTTAATAAATAAGTATTAAACATGAATATTGCTATATACCAACGACCTGTGGAGGTGCTTATGGTGCTTAAAAAAAGACAGTGCACTTAGATTAAACTACACATCATTAATATTTTTAAGTATATGTTGATAAACCTTCCATCAGTTTCATTGATAGACAAAATATTTTTAAAAATAAAGTATAAATTTAAGAAGTAAGCACTGCTATACCAAAAACAACATTTTTTCAATCTATTTTATATAGTTTTAATTTGTTTGTATATCTGAAGTTGGTAGTAGAGCTGATGTTAGTATCAATTATCATTTATGGAAAGCAGCCACAATATTAAACCTTTTTAATGAATCTTTATTTATAAGTTAAGCCATAAAATACAATACAAACTGAATTTGTACTGCAGCTAGTATTTTATGTGAGTGACAAAACGTTATAGATTGGACATGTTTTGGTCAAAATATAACCATGTACTTTGTCAGGTAGACCAAACTAAATCAGCATGAAAGCGTGTGTAACATACTCCTTGGTCAAATTAACCAGGCCATGGAGTGTTTATATCAAGCAAACATTGCCAAGAAAGAACTGGAGTTATTCTCGAGCAGAAGTCCAATGTGAACGTATGCAACTAATAGTACATGTGTCACTAAAATTTCCAGACTGTATTCATGATTAGACTGAACACGTATGCACAAAATGTTTCTATACTAAAACCTACATTGCGATCCAAGGGCAATTAGCGGTATGATTTGACCAACGCGTAGAATTATTTATTTACTTATTTATTTATTATTTATTTTCAAATCATCCAGTTCAGTGAAAGTCAATTACAGGATGCCTTACAAACATTATATATAAACATTAAAAATATTGTACAAGAAAATTATTAATTATTAATATAATTATTATTATAGTGGAAGTTTTAAAAAGATATTGCATAAATAAAAATACATTGCATTGCAATAATACTGGCAGAACACATAATTTGTTATAAAAACATTAAAAATACTGCACAAAAACATTATTAATTATTAATACAATTACAGTATTATATGGTGAATAAAAAGTATAGCCGTGTTAGTCTGATACAGTATAGAACAATATAAAGTAAATGACAGCAGCACTTTTGAGACTAACAATATAGAATTTATTCTATGGAAATTTAGGTATTAAAGTATTCTTTTGTCTTGGTCAAAATTAATCCAATGAGAACATATACAGTACAAATGCAAAGTATAAGCATTCTTACCGAGTTTCGCAACACCTACAAGCAAGACAGCAAGTGTTATCGTGAGGGGTACCTCTACGTGGTCAAAGTTCCACTGCACTAGGTGGACGCCACCGTGGTCCTCATCAGCATGGGATTCTTTTGAGCCATTGTTCTCAAGAACTTGTTCTCTGTCTGAACTGGCTAGAGTAAAATCAGCAAGCAACGCCACAGCTACCCATAATTCATACCGCACATACATCATGCCTGCACAATTCTTCAGTTAAAACACTACAAAAAAAAACATCATAAATATTTGATTTGAACCTAATGAAAACCGATGAAGTTTTTCAAGCAGAACATAAATATTTACAGAGAAATAATAATTTGTACCAGTTTGGATTTACCCAGGGATTAATCCACAACTCCTTCATTCCATTATGCTCTGACTTGAAATTTTTCCATCAAAATACAATTAAACTACTCAAGGAATTACATCCCAAGTGCATCCACATATTATCTATCCACTAAATGAATAAATAATAATGATAAAAATAATATATTAGTCTTAAAAGCACTTTATGCTTACTGTACAAGGCTTGTAAGCATTTTAAATACAGGGCTTCTTATACAAAGTTAAATAAAAAAAAAATAGACTATGGATTATAAAAAGTATAATGTATATTAACTTATTCCATTTCATACTTCTGAATATGATATATGCATTTGATTTTTATACTGCGTCATTGGAAATCTAATAAAATGATTTGTATTGTTAAAAAAAATTGAATATTCATCAATGATATTATATGGAAATATTACATTTTTATGGGTTCATATTAACGATTTGTTTTTTCATCATATGAAAATTAGGATGCTATTTATGCAGTAAAATTTCCAATATGGTATTTCATTTAAGATTTGAAATGCATCATTTATGCACTGTACATGTGAATATAAAATTATATAAGTTATGTAAACTTTTGACTTAATAGTCTGTTACAGCTAAATGGTAAATTTAGTATGATTTTAATATCAACAGTCAACATTATCAAATGCAAAAAACAAACTATTTTCCTAACTATTCAAATGTACATAAACAAAATTATCAATCTAATAATAATTATCACCATTATAATAATAATAATAATAATAATAATAATAATAATAATAATAATAATAATAATAATAATAATACTGTAGTAATAATAATAATAATACTGTAGTAATAATAATAATAATAATAATAATAATAATAATATAATTATTATTATTATTATTATTATCATTATAATAGTGTAAAAGACATGATACAACGTGTTACCTACTTGACATAATATTTGTCAAGGATGTGATAATCTGAAACATTGTAATAACAATTTTTATGTAGTGCTTTACACAATACATTTTGCAGAGCACTTAGCAAGCTGTGCACAGCTAATGTGTTACAGAGTACTAATAGTACACCCTCCAAAGTGGAAGGGGGGGGGGGATGGGGATAAAGTAGGCACATGTGTTACAGTACCATCTGTATTAATATATAACAACATCAATCAGGAAAGGTAATAAGTATATTTTTATAGAAGGCATTATTATAATTATAAATGTGATATAAAAAAATTATTATCACTAATTTAGGTACAGTACTGTATATAGCCATACAGTTTGCAACCTTGAAAAGGGCCAGAAATGTATTCCTTTGTAGGTTGTGATAAGTATCTTGAACAAATTCAACTGAGATCGTTTTACAAGATATTGGATCGTTATATTAAAGTCACAAGAACTTATTTAAAAGATTGAAATTTTTCCAAAAGCAATCTGATAAAGAAGTGGTGGAGAACCAAAGATAAAATATGGCTTACATTATTAAAAATACTACTTTATCTGTACTACTGCATTATGTGTTTATTGGAAGAATTATATTATTATTATACTACTGTAAAATGAAAAATATTCAAACCTATGCTCTGCATGGAAAATGTATATAGTAGTGTGTTACTATATGTTGTTATGGTAGGTTATGGTAGTAATGTACCCCAAATGGTGCATTTTTGCACACCAAAAACCAATAATTTTCCTTGACTGAGAAAAACACAGTACATGTAAAGGCGCCATCCACCTTTATATTTTTATATCATATTCCCACTACAGTGTAAGGCCATAGAGTCTCAATTTTCAAAGGTATATTTAAGAATTCTTTCTTAAAGAATTATTTGACAATAAATAAGAACCTAATTTTAATATGTTTGATGACACACCCACACCTTGGCAGGGATCTTTTACTCAGGAAAGACATAATGATTGGAAATAATTTTTTTGTTTTCAATCTTATAACAAGAATGTTTCTGTAAAAGTGTTCATTTATAGTAACGCAAGATATGAGAAGGATCAGTATATCAAAATAGAGTCCGAAATATTAGTTGAAAAAAACCCTTTTGCAATATTTTATTGTACTACTATAAGTAAGTTTCAAATTTGACTACGGTATGTAAACAGAGCTTATATCTAATTAAAATGAATTGGAACTGACAAAAAGACCCTGCTACACCAGTGACACAGCATAATGCATGACCTTGGCAGTAGAAATGATCAGGACACAGTGAAATAGATTTAGTCATTTATTTATTACACTTCATCACTGCAAAAATACAAGAACAATTCAAAAACAAGACAAAAAGCAGCGAAAAGCAGGGGATGAACAGGTGTGTCAGTCATTGCAATGAACTAAAATTTGGTATTCAATATAAAATAATGTACACAAATTTATAACGATTCCATTTGTATTTATTAGCTACAAATTTGTTTTAATAATAATAATAATAATAAATTGCTATTTATATAGCACATATTGCAAGAAACTGGCTCTATGTGCTTAGCAACAAATATATCTTGTATTTAAAACAAAAATGATGTTTTGTAGAAGTACAGTAACTCAGTTGCAGTAGCTGCAAGCTACCCACACTCATCAGGCATAAATACAATAATAAATAATAATAGAATCATTATAACAAGTTTGATTGGCTTGTCTTTGCCACATTTGTACATTAGTTATGGTTTTTTTTCTTATCTGTTTTTGTTAAGCGCCTCGAGGTTGCGACAACATGGGGCGCTATATAAATCCAGAATTATTAATGTGTCTTGTTATTTACATAAGTATAAATTATGTTTATTATCAAAAATACTGTCTGTGTGTGATGCCAAAAATATATATAATATCGCAAATGAATTGATAATGAAGTTATAACATTTATTTGAAAATTAAAATGAATAAATTACATTTGTATTTTAGATATATTATTTCTCTAGAGTCATTCAACTAACCTAAGGACTGGATAACTTGTCCATTCAATTATTAAGTTTTCCAGAAATTGGAATGTTGTAACTGTAAATAATAGAATACTGTATGTGCCTTTCTTGAATTCGCAACACTCTCAAAATTTGCACCGCATCAAATGTGATAATTGGGAAGGCGATGCATTGGCACTACCGTAAATGCTTGAATAGGCGGCACAGTGACACACTGTTAAAATGAACAAATAATACAATGAAGACAAGCATTTCTTTATAAACGTTTATTTATGATGATAAGATGTGATAGACTACGGGAATACGTGAAATAGGTAACATGGAAATGGGCAAGGAAAGTGCCACGCCAATATTTTTTTGTATAAGTCGTGGCCAACAATGGGGCTGGTGCCTATCTGACAGATAAGCCACCTGACCACCATACCATCTGGTGAGGGCTAACCTCTGCTCCACTATTGGCAGGGATATGGAGCCAGACAGTTCATCCATTCTCTCTTTCCATTCCAATGTTCAAAATTGAATAACTATTTCTTTTTCTTTGCGAAAAAGCGAACACTTCAACACAGTTGCAGTGAGGCATATGTCTGTATTCATAGGTTGCTGAACTGATCACCGGACAGTAGCAAAGAAGAAATAAACCTGGCTTCCATAAAAATCGCTACTCCTTTGGCGACACTGATTGGTCAGTCAAAACGGAAAGCATTCCCCACTGTGTCGGGGAAAGCTCCACAGTGCAAGAATTGCAGTAAAAATGCCATAGCAACAGTGTACAGTAGCAATTATATGGAAACCAAGCTTGCCAGAGATAACAGTTGAACAAAGTTTAAAATCTACTGTACAGTACAGGAAGAAATGTATGGTGTATAGAATTTAAATGCAACAAAATATTATAAACATTTTTTCCAAAACATTTTTGTAGCGCATCTTAAAAATCCAGACACCAAGACTGGTAGAGCATGCTTCTACAGGGTGGGGAAAGGGGACAGGTTCATGGATTGTCAGGAAAAAACAAATACAGCAATTTGCACTTTAAATACATAAAATTAATATTTAAAAAGATACATGTCTATTACGGTATAAATGGCTTCAGATTCTCAATTTTCACAGGCCAAAATCAGCCTCAGGGATGTAGTTATGGTGGGCAGAGGTAGGCAGGGGCCACCCAGCCTTGAAGTTTTCCACCCAGTCTAAAGCTAATTTCATGGCCTCCACCCACCTATATTAACCCCCTGGCCAAATCCTTAAAATCAACTAATTAGAATTTAACAATGTTATCACAGTGGTGTATCTAGGTGAGGGGCAGTGCCTGTCTCTTATACACATCTAGATGTGTATAAGAGACAGCCCCCCAGTCGCCCCCAAAACATGCATAACATTATGTAATAAATTATTACAGCATTCATAATTTCATTAAATTTGAATTTTAGAAAAATAATCCTTCAAAAATTATCAACAGGTATGCGTAGTTTGAAACTACAGATTTTGTTTTAAATTTTGCAGATGCCTCATACCATGCATGATAGACATCACAATTGACAGATATTATGACATTTTCTCTTCTTTTTTGGGGTTTTCAGTTTGAAATTGTTGTATTTTGTAATTGCAAAGCTTCTCTCTTCGTGAATTCATTATTTATCGTAAGATATCACTATTTCCATACATGGTATTGGGTTTTAAATTGCTTTTTACTGCAAGACATTTTGCAATAAATTACCCATTTTGTATTGCATTTGCTATAACACCACATTGTACGCATTACATCCGCAATATAACACACACTGATCAGCACTTTACTACACTCATTAGTCACTATAACCATTATCCTTAAGCTTACAGGGCAACAATCCTTTTATGCAGTTTCCTAAATTAGATTGTTTTTCTCAGAACAAGTCCAATTCATTCCTATGCTAAGTATTTTCTTAGTTTCCAGTCCTACAAATTGACTGAAAGGTGAGACATTTTTACACCTTGATTAGCGAACTCGCAGCCTGCCAATAATGACAATTTTGAACAAAAATAAGATTTTATTTTTGGCTAATTAGCGCACCCACCACCATGAAAAAATTTAAATTCCAGACAAAATATAAAATTTTTTCTTTGATTTTATTATGAAAGCCGCTGCCTTAAAATCTCTAAAAATAAGATATGTATTCCTAAGGTTTTCTTCCTAATTACGTAAGTTTAAAGCATTTAACCATCCAATTAATATACTGTTTACATCCAGCAATAAAATTTTATTTTTATTTTCTCCTCCGTCTGCATGTTTTTGGCAAAACTATGTGCTTTAAGAAAACAACATTTTTTTTCCCGCTCTCCTCTCACGATTAAAAAATTAAGTTCACAAACAAGATTTAAAAAGTCTCGCCTTGAGGTTAATGATCAGAGTTCCATGATCAGAACAGTACCTCCTTTGTTCCTCTGAATATGGTGCTGATAAGTTTAAGGTTGTTGCACAATTGATTGAATTGAAAGAAATGAATTAATTGTAATGTATTTTATGTATTCTAAAATACTATATTGATACAGAAAAGGAGCACAAACTTAAAATGAAAACCAGAGTGAAAGGAGAACTGGGTTAGCCCATAAAGCTAGCAAATGCTGGCTCATTTTGTTTTATTTCATATCCTCACACAAACTAATACAAATATATGAAACATGATGAGTAAATAACAAAAATTAATTACAATCAGTTGTGGATCCAGGAATTCAAAAAAGAGGGGTCCAGCAGGCGCGGATCCAGGGGGGAGCCCGAGCCCCACTTTTTGAAAGTCAAAAAAAAAAAAAGAAAGAAAAAGTAAAAAGAAAAAAATTGATCGCCAAAAGGCCTCAGAGGTTATTTTCGGGCATCTAGAGCACAAAAAATTTTGTAGGGGAATTCCCCCGGATCCCCTAGAGTATTGTTATATCGATTGCCCCCCCCCCCAACTTTCGACCCATCTTCTATAATTAAAACCCCACTTTTAAAAGCGAATGTAAAGAATAACAATCACGCATGACTCATGAATTATGTCTGTTCAGTTTTCCGAGTGCAGTACGTATTTTTAAGGCTGTCTCTTATACACATCTAGATGTGTATAAGAGACAGGATCTGCCCCTGTCCAGGAAGGGATTTCACAAATTAAGAATCTAGACCACCTGAGCCCTACCTTGTTTGGGGCTAAAATAGAAAAATTATGATTATATAATAGCTTGTCTAGTGTACATGGCCGGAATTGCCACTCTCAGAATTAAGATTGAATGAATATAATTTTCATTTTTCCCTCCGTTTTTTGTTTACTTTTTAAAAATTTAGGGGGAAGGGGAGGTTTCAATCTGCCATTATGGAAAAAATGTTTAAAATGCAAATAAACATTTGTATCGCACTTTAAAAAAACACACACTGGTTCAGTTTTAAATGGGCTTTTCCGTAAATTCTTTTTCTGTAAATTGCATTACTGTATTGATAGTGGTTGGGGATTCGTATAGGGCATAAATATATGGTCTCTATGCACTGATGTTCCATATGGTTATCCTTGGATCTCTTGAATCAGAGTTGAATAATTCTAATGTCTTAATAACTAAGACATTAGATCTTCAATCATGAATAATTTTTCAAGATTAAAGCAATTGATGTGTCTGTTCTAGTTCAAGCTTGTCTAATGGTACAGCGTACAATTTGAATGTTGAAATGTAGTTTGCATTTTGTGGCTGAAATTAAAGGCTTTGTAAGTAGCTAGTGTACTGTACTGTAGGCGGTGCTGCACACGATCCATAAAAATGTTGACTTTCAATAAACAACTTTACTGAACATTGCAGGTAGTAGGTAAATTGCAGGTAGTAGGTAAAAGGTATAGGTAAATTTGATGATGTCATGACTGACTTTAAGTCAATCATGACATCATCAATATGTAATCTACAGTATATCCTCTATCTTGTTAAAAGATAAAAGTAAATAGAAGAGTGTTTGGCTGGACAAAAATTTAAAATAGAATAATATACACACAAAAACTTTGAACAAAGGTTATACCAAAGGTTCTACTGTATATCTCTTAGTTAAGTAAACCACAAATCCATCTGTGGGTAAAACTTACTTTAACATTGGTACAGATGCTCTTCAACTGTTGTAGCAAATCATGATCAGTCTTTAGCTTCTTTAGTACTTAGGAGCTTTCGACAATTACAGTAGGACGGAGAACGTAATGACGTCACTAAAAGTCATCTGCGCATGGGAGAACATTAAGATCACCCCGTTGAGTAGATTCTGGAACGCAATTTTTTGCCAAATCTACATATGCAGAGAACGTAGGACGAACGGTAGGACGGTCACGCATGAGTCGTCACACAAATCGAAAGCTCCCTAGTATCTAATTTAAGACTGACCAAGAGTGTGTCAGATGGCTAACGAGGTCAACAAGTAAAATCGGGATCATAGGTAGCCAATGAAGTTAGTGTTGTAAGTTGTGTGAAGATGTTCCACTTAATACGATGAAGACAATGAAGATTTTTCTATTCTCTATGAAGCCATTCTTTCCCTCCAAATTGCAATTATCTTTCGCTGTCCATACATCTGTTATAAATATTGTCTTGTCTTCAGAGTTCTCGTTTAATATTTTTAAGGCCAAATAAAAAAAAAATGCTAGTTTCTCATTCCCTCGCACATCCATTTCTCCTGTCTCTTATACACATCTAGATGTGTATAAGAGACAGGCCTCAGAGGTTATTTTCGTCATGTTGTCTGTCTCTTATACACATCTAGATGTGTATAAGAGACAGACATTAAATACCGTATTCCATGACCTGTTTCATGAAAACTAATTACAATTAATTTATTTATATGGTTTTAATAATGACAGACTATAAATCATGCTAGTACGTCTTTAACACGACCTGTTAAAACGATCTGTGGTGGATCGCGTGACATTACTCGGGTTCTCATAGTGCCATCCTTTTCCCAGGGAATTTCCAATATAAGGATTCTGCGCACAGTACGCCTAATGGAGGACGGTAGATAGCATATGGATAGTGGGACCTATTTTTGTTACGGGAATGTGGACCGGCTGAACAGCAAACTTCAATAACTATTGTCAATAGATCACAATTAATAAACTATCTAAAATTACAGATATATAGGCCCCCTAATAGTATAAGTTAACCGGCACCTTAAAAATCGTATACTTACCATCCGCAGGCCTACGACGTCAAGGTCCTCCAGTCATACACACAGCAAAGCAGACTTCGTCGGGCGCGGCACACACCTTGCTTTAACTATACCACCAGTCAGGTAATTGATCGAGCTTAACTGTATTTTAGCTGATACCTTGTTTCTCACATTAGATCATTCAGAGAATGAAGAGCATAACTAACACATGTCAATCCCATGTGAAGTGCTGAACAAACCAGGTATGTTCAAATTAGAGTCTGATTGGACAGAAAATTAGCTTACTCACTACATAAATAATTACCAGGGAGGTTCAATACAAATACACAACTCTTGGTTGGCGGTGTTTACAATCTGATGTGAACTTCCGGGTCGACTTAATTAATGTACGATTACGTCATTCAATCGTTCTAGTTTTTCGGTTTTTTTTCGCCCGGATACTTTCGACCAATACAACCCGATGTTATTTTTTCATTTGAGGGGGGGGGGGGGATGATTGGTGTGTTAGCGCCAATGTGTGCGCTTGTGCGACAGGGGATGTGCCCCCTCTGAAGCTGAAAACCTTGTTTTTGCAAAATAAATTGGTGCAATTTGATTACTACTTTTAGTGAAATTTTGATCAAAATGAAAATAAAGTTTACCATTAACAATATGGCATATCTGTATCTGTGAGATATTCACAACGCTTCTTTGTTGAATGCCATGAGGGAGGTCATTGATGTGGAGCAAAAAGAGAAGTGGAAGAATAAGTAAATATTTTATAGGTTTTTATTGACTTTCTTCATTTTACACTTTTATAATAATACATTCGCTTATGAACAATAAACCTCTTAGTGCCTATTTTGTTTTGTTTTTATTACTACTGGTATTAACATGGTTTTGTAAAGTATTAAACATAATAAAAATAATGAGTATTTATATGCGCTATTCACGCAACTGCTTAAATGAAATGGCCAAACTTGTTTTTACGAGATTCTGATCGAGAAACAAATTCTTTGGCCAGTTCCATAATGTCAATGTCATCCAGCATTGGCTTGTGGATGTTGGCCACTGCACAAGAGTTTAGCCTCCTTTGCGTCATGTTGTTTCTCAACCAGGTCTTGAGTCGCCTAATGTTGAGAAGCTGCGTTCACTCGCATGAGGTAACTGGACAGACCAGCATCAACTTAAGGAGTGATAACACCTCTGGAAAGAGGTTATCATCCGAATTATTAGTAGCCCTGGTATGCAGCCAGCCGGGGCCCCATTCATTTTTGCAAATTAAAAGAAAATGTATTGTATTGTCAAAAACGTCGTATATTAGGGTGCAAGAGGGCACGTGGCCTCGTAGGGGGCTCATCTGTACTTTTGGAACTGGGCGTTTCCCCATAAAGCACACAGGCGTTACATAACTGGTCAAAGCTCCATAATAAAATGCTGGGTCGTAGTACGAGGGGCCCCACTCACCTTATAGGCCTACTAGTGACTGCATACCGGTATTTATTGCAGAGCCTTCTAATGTGCCAAAGAGTGTGTTTGTGGAATTTTGGTCTGTTTGGTTTTAGAAAATTATAGAAAAAAGTTAACGTATTGTCGAGTACAGTCTGGTTAGTAACACATTGTGACCTGTCCTTGGACTTCCCCCATGCAGAAAGCACATCATGCGTTATGCTACAGTTAATTATTAAGACTCGGTAATAAAGATGCAGTCACTAGTACGAAGGAGCCCTTTTTGAGTAGGGGCCCGGGTCTGCGCCCCCGAGAGCTCACGGGCATTACGCCACTAATGATGATGATGATTATTATTATTTTGATGATGATGATGATGATAATCATCATCATCATCATCATCATGTGGAAGATAGGGATGATAGTGGTGACGATGGTGGTGTGATGATGATGATGTTGATGATGAAATCCCTATTCCAATTAAAACTCACTTGGTCCTTTTTATTTTTAAATGCTCATGTTTTAGCTGAAATAATGTAGGCTACAGTAGGCCTATGTTAGTTTTATATAGCTCTCTAACCAACTCACCGTAGTGAAACTTTCTTTCCTTTAATTATTTGCACTACAATTAATATTCATAAACAAAAATTGAGGCGCAACAAAAGATACAGGAAAATATCTAAACTAAAAACAAGCAAAATGGACACAGGAGGGCCTAAAGTTTACAAAGTTAGTGCTATATACTCATGCAAAAATATTCATCATTAGAAACAACTTAAAGTAAAATATGTTTGCATTTATCGAAATCTGATTATAATTCCAGAACATGAGAGAAGATATACAATGTAGATCACCATATGAAAAAGCAGTCCAGTATCGGGTCTTTAAAACGGCATTTAACTATAAGTGTCTCACAATAGACCTTTATTCTGAATGCTTTTTGAAATTTTTGGATCGCCCTCTGGGAATGCATATTTTATTTTATTTTATTTTTTATTTTTTTTGCATTATGGGATTAATATGTTTCGGTATGTCAAGTGGATTTGCAGATACAGTACTTTCCCAGAGTTTCCAAGCTTCCAATACTTTCATGAAGGATAAACACGGCCACTTGCAGTGGCGCAGCCACGGGTCAAGGGTCCTAACCTTCTTCCCCACTCAAATTAACCAACATTTTAAAGGATATCCTGATTAAATTATCGGTAATGTGAAAAATATAATAATAATAATAATAATAATAATAATAATAATAATAATAATAATATGAATTATGCTGATTTCTATAATGCCATCTTGTAATGACCAGATACAAACTTACAGGTCTACAACATATGTCAGACGTTAATCCCTGTATACCAAATTTTATTTGACAAAACACGTGACATTTGGGCATGATGACATCATATCATGACATATAGGCATACGGTAAGTTTTTTGTCAAAAAAATGACAATCTGGACAGAACTGTATGAATCCATTTTTTCCGTTTGAAATTAATGCCTACAATATTATAGCACAAGAAAAAAAGAAATCGGTATAATAATGGCCAACATTATTCGTTAAACTAATTTATTGTGAAAGATTTAGATTCAAACCAGGATATCATTACCTGAACCAAACGTCTTCTAGTTTTTATTTATTTATTTACTTCCAATTGTCTGACAAGTTAAATAAATACAATAATATTGTTGAGCGGGGGCTGTCGAGGATAACACGATAAATATATAAAATATAACATATTTTACCAATGATCAGTTACAAGAATTACCAATGAATCATTGTTTTTTAATTGAATTATAGATACCTCAAAAGTCGTCAAAACTATTATAGTGAAAAAATATATAAATTAAAGATATATGATTTCTGTACACACATTTGCCAAATGTAAGGCGCCGGTGATTTTATTTAATTATGTGATTATTAGATCCATACTGACAATCCGGTGCACATAATATTAGCGAAACCCTTTCCTCATCACTCACTCCATAGGCTGAACGCATTCGGCGACAACTGCTCGCTGAAAACATGAATTTACCATCATCAATTTGCTCGCGAATTTCTTCGAAAAATATCATTATCTATGGGAAAGGAACTCAATCTTGTTTTAGTACATCCAACAGTTCCCTTTGGTACAAAATATTTACTGAATTTTGCCAATATTTAACACGTTTTTGTCGTGAAAATATTTGTATATTTTAGTATAATGCGAGGATTTATACCATTTTCAGTCTTGAAGATATGGCATTCAAAATTATCATCTCGACCATCCCATAATGAGACACCTTTAACCTCTTTGGGATTACTTTTAAGTTATTTATTAACCAAATATTATAAATCTATCGTGAAATTGTTTTTATTTTTTTTTCTACATTTTTTATATTGAATTAAATTTGATAATTGATAATGGTTAACAGGAGGGACTGCAAAGGAAAATTTAATTAATTCAAACACAAAAGCTATTGTAGTTGATTTGAGTCAGTCTAAGTATTTATTATACAAATGAAAATCAAATCTGACATGACTTAATAACTTACGCAAGCTTCAATTTAAGCGATGTTATAGTTAAATAATAACTGTTTGTTGTTTACTGAACTACAATATACTTTTCTCTACTTCCAATATGTTAATGTTATGGCAACATCTGTGTTAACGTCTGTCGTGATATAAAATTTCAATTAGGCCTAGGCCTTAATAATACACACAACATACTCTATTGAAAAGGATCAAATATGTTACCAACGACATACGATTATCTAAAACTTCAACACAGGTATAACATTAAAAGTCAGCTTGTTTTTGTTATAGTTTTACATTTTTTTTTCTTATGTTGGGCATGCTCCGCATTTTTGCATTTTGGCCAGCGTGGCCCGTATTATGTTCAGACATGACACATTATTATAAATCCAGAATTATTGTAGTATGCTCATATCAACTCACACGGGTGCCGTAAGTACAGAAATATCATAGAGCTATAAGAAATTTGGAAATGTCAAGTTGGCTTTTGTTGTATTAGTGCATATTGTAGGCCCTACTTATAATGTTGCCACCGGGACATCGCCCAAGGGTATTCACTACGATAACATTAATGGTATAGGACAGACAGGTTATTACGGTCGGATACTTCAATCTTTATTTAGAGGAGGAATTGTATGATTATCATGTAATATCTTGGTCATATGGAGAAAATATCTATTCCTCATCCGGGCCTAACCCACTCGGCAATACAGAATTATTTATTCCACTATAAGCCTTGACGTAATTTTGAAAGTAACCTACAATTTGTAATAGATAGGAGATGCTTTCGCTCGGACCGACGCGACGGAGGGTTTCGTCCCATGGGCAATGCACTTAATTTCTCCTCTTTGTTTGGAGAGTGACACGGTTAGGACATGGTCCTTCTTTGTTCGCTGTTTTCAGATTTTCTACAACTACAACTGTTTTTACATAGGCATAATACTATGCCTGTACAAACATCTGAAAATCTGAAAACAGCGAACAAAAATTAGGAGATTTTATCGCATCACTATAATAATTATGAGAAACTTGCATGATCATGCATTCTGACAGCCTATCCCCCCATTCAAATCAGGGTCGGTTGGTCGAATGTCCATACCAGCTAACACAAAGTAACACGCGCGAACGTTGTGGTAAGGTTGTCAGAAAATTAGGTTAATACAATGATTCTGACAGCAATTTAGTTCTAAAATACGTAATACGATGTATAAAAACCCGTTTGAACCCGAAGGTGGCAGCAACTTATTTTTAAAATTACGTTATACGATGTATAACTACTTAAAAACCCGTTTGAACCAAAAACTGCAACGTTATTACAGTATTTAACGAAAAGTTGTTAGCTCAGGATAATTTCGGTTCTTATGAAACAGCCACAAACTGAAATTAAGGCTTGTATTTCATATAATCTATGTTTTTATATACAGTATAAGAAAACATTTTGTTTACATTCGCAGATTCCTCTTCTTTACCTTTTACAATTATACGTATAAATCATTAGGCCCTAACCGCAAGGTGGTGTATGGTTTTATATCTCTTTGTGTAACAACACTTTTCTCTTTAGAGATCTCGTCTTTGCTGGACGTTTAATTGGAAGAGGGCGTATCACATTGATCTTTTTTATCTCTGTTTTACGTTTTTCGGTCGAATACCGTACTCTTCATGTTTTATCGGCATACCGATTGTGAAATCAATTGCCTCAAATCGGATACGAACTTCCAACAAAAACCTCAATGGTCCAGTTGGTTAATTAAGGCTAGGAGGGATATTTAGTTAATACCTCCTTAATTAAGACAGTAGTCGTAGGCCTATCTGGTTGGAATTGAACCGGACCAATGAATTGACATCCAAGCAGTGCACACAATGGCTCCCATTAGCCGACTGAATCAGTTATGTTGCTCTGACGATAATACTGTACAAGATGAAAAGTCAACTATTGGCGAATAAAGAATCAAGTGCTAAGTGTAGGATGTACTGAAGTTGCTATAAATTGAGTAGTATTTTTCTGAAATTGATTCTAGGCCTGCTTAGGCCTAATAGCTGAAACGGTTTTTAGTATTATTTGTTGCCCACCAATAAGTAGGACTACATTTTTTTAAATTGAATTATAACGCATTACGACTGAGAATTTTATAGATAAGCCAAAATGAGAAATCCCAAGATGCCAAAATTAGTCCTCTATGCCTATGATACTGTAACCTGGAGCAGAAAAATAATTCCAGTAAAATTGAGAACTAATTCTGTCTCAGTGACTCAATTGTAATGGATCATATGTTTAAGAAATCCTCGGCAACATGTCTTGAAAACGTCCACCTGTCTGTTGAACGTTCGTCACCACCACTAGAGGACGTGCAAACCAACATAAAGCCAAGTTCGGTTATTTCTTTGAACAATTGTAATCGCTTTACAGATTTTCCTCTGGGGGTTGTCAATCCATAAACCTCGGCCTTTTTCAGTTGACTCTTATAGTTTGCAAGTTGCGCAAAACAACATTTAATTGCTGATAATTGACCAACAAGCTTTGGTTTGCCAAATATCAGCCACTGTCCATTGGCGCATTCAAATTCTACCTCTAAGAATTCGTATGATTTAATAGCTTCTTGCTCTTCAATCTGTGACTGTCGATTTTGTTCTCTTGTTTCGTCGATAAGTTGGATGAGTTCTTGTATCTGGTAGAAGTCTGCTTCAGCCGATAGGATATCCCACTCTTGAAAATTATCAGGAAGGATAAGCTTTGATCGACGGAGGAAATTTAGAATGTGTCGAAATGTTGGACCGTCTCCGTCAATGACGTAGCGATTGCAATCATCAACGTTAGATGGTAAGCGGTCACTGAACATTGATCCTAGCATTGAATCCGGAAAACGTGTCAACGTAGAGCGGCTTGTTGTATAGATGCAACCCCCAACATTTAGGTTCAATACCTCGTCTGCCACTGCTGGCGAATCCATAACTGAATACTAGTGCATGAACATGTAATCATACAAAATGATACTGCAATCAGATGTTTTTTCGTCGCAAAGTCAGAATACAGCAGCAGGCCATACGACACAAATGGAGGTTGATTTATGTTATTTATGTATCATTAAGTAATAGTCAGGAACAGTAATTTGCCTATAACTACAGCAGCTGTTGCGCGGTAGGGCCTATAGACTAGGCCTGCTTTTGTATTTTGTTAAGCGATAAATCAATCGTGCACACATGATTATTGTTCGCATGAAAACAATCCATTGACGTCATAATATTGAACTAATTAGACATTTTGACGGATCCAATGTATGATAATTTTAATGACAACACAATTGTGACTGCGGGATGCTGCTTGGCAGTGGTGGCGCCAGAGGGGGGCTATAGACCCCGTCGGGAAAGTTTACCCCCACCCCCCCCCCCCACCGGTCGGGGAAGACGAGTACATTCTGTCGGGGAATAAACAAATAAAAAAAATATATCTACTTTCGTTAAACTATTTGTGTTAAATTTACATCACAATAATAATAATAATAATAATAATAATAATAATAATAATAATAATATTAATAATAATAATAATAATAATAATAATAATAATAATAATAATAATAATAATAATAATAATAATAATAATAAATAAAGTTGGGCATTCTGAGATATGAATTAACACAGACATGGGTCTAAGGTAAAATGATGGTTTTCTGGCATTTTGTGCATATAGTACTGTAGTTTAAAACCAGAATTACTCATAACTATGAGTTTTAACTACGGTTTATATATTTATCTTGAATGACCACTATAACCCTTTGACCAGTGCTATTCTGAAAGAGTATATCCCAGTTTAATGATGTGATAGTACTCCCAGCTAACAATGAAGAAAGTTATAAGTTCACAGTTTGGTGTTAAAAACGGTATTTTGTAGGATCATTTTATAACCTAATTTCACATCGTCATAACGTTTAAACTTTCTTACAACGTTATGTAAACGTTATTTTGTGACCTACCAAACCACAACGTTCGCGAACATTTTGTGTTTGCTGGGTTATGATTGGATCACTCTCTTTGCTAGTGTAGGCCTATTATTACATTATAACTTACTTTGGTCATCCCTATTCTACAAATGGTATAGTCCTCCTCTTCCAAGCTGACAGTCACGGGTCAGTGGTCACGACAGTTTATCTAGGGGTTTGCCTACTGTTTTCATCTGATGCTATTGAGCATTTTGAGGAGGATACAGAAATTCAAAAGCGAATTATTAATTAAAAATTAATCATGTATTTACATATTCTGTTTAATAATTTATAAATTTCATTCCAGTAGGCTGCGGCCACGATTATTCGGCTTTGAACACGTGGCTTAACAAAGCACGTGCAACCAGAGTAGGCTGCCGTGAACCACCACGTATCTACAAGCAAGATGAGTATGCCTAGTCAGGAGAAAGCTTCAGTGTTAATCGTTGGAGGAGGCATAGCTGGATTATCAGCTGCTGATACTCTCATCAAGTCTGAGATGTTTGATATATTGCTTCTTGAAGCTACAGAACGGTTAGGTGGCAGAATTCTTACAAGTTACGTAGAAGGTGGGTCTGACCATGGAGGTATAGCTGACACTATATTATTAATACACCACATTGTAGGTAGGTAGTGCATTTGATAGATGCTGGTGCAGCAGGGGTGGCGCTAGGATTTGCCTGGGCATGCGGTCCCCTACGGGGAGGGGGTGGGAACGTTGTCCCCGACGAGAGCAAAGTGGGCGTGGTCGGGCGTCACTCAAAATCTTTCAAAAAGTGGTCCAGAAATTTATGCCAATTTAGTCAGCTATATGTAGAAAGTACATATATATTTTTTTCTCCCCAAGGAATTGCAGTTTTCCACCCCGACCGAAGAGGACCAGCTCTCCCCAGCAGGTACTCTGGCACCACCCCTTGTGCGATGTGGTATCCTTTTTTATCCTAAAGACACTAAACTCAGATAAAATGTGCCAGAACCAGAAGGGGTCAACAGGGCCCCTGGGGCCCCTGTCAGAGAGAAAGCCAATCATTTTGTTGGAGAACACAGCAATATTTCTAGGTATCTATAGGTGCCTATGCTTATATACTATGGTGAAACATTTTCACATAGAGGTAGTTATTGTGCCATTGCTTTACATGCCAAAAGAGAATGTTACTGGTACAGTATCTTGCTGTAATGACAACTGAAACAGTGGCGTATCTAGAAGTCTTGAAATGGGGGTGCTGATGGGGTGTGGGCGTGAAGGTAAAGTGGGGGAACCTCGATGATAATTTGACTAAAATTCGCAAAATAAGGTGATTTTTTTAACTACTTGCAAGTGATTTTTGTGGTGTTTTTGGGGGGGGGGGGGGGGGGGGCGCAAGCCCTTAGATATGCCACCGAATTGAAACTGCTACAATTTAAGCATTTCATTTATCAAACTAAGTAATGTGCAGCTAAATTTTTTTGGAAAATAATTAGTCAATAAGAACTGTTATTAATTATCTTATTTGAATATTCCAGGACGTAGTCTTGAGCTTGGTGCAAATTGGATCCATGGGGAGGATAACATGTTGTATAATTTTGCACGGGATCATCAACTTTTACAGGTACTGTACCTGCACAAACTTTGTAATTAATGTATCAAGTCAACATTGGCAATAAACAATGTTAATACAACAAGCTTCTGCCTGATAATGAATCATTATGCAGTTATTTTGTTTCAAATAAGAGAGTATTTGAGACACCCATCTTCATTTTGTATCTAAAATCTTAAGATTATGAATACTGTACATTAAATTTACGTTGAATTTATCATTAATTACAGGTGATACGCAATACAAATGCAAGTTTGAAAGATTGCAGAGATACTAAAGATTATAAAGGCATCATGACCAACAAAGATACTCAAGCTGACAGTAAACATATTCTACCATATTCTGGTGATGACTTCTTTTTCACAGAAAGTGGAAAAGTGCTCGACAGTGACACTGTTCAACAACTTTTGATAATTCTAGATAGTGCTGAAAAGAAATTTGTGGAGTTGTCACAGACAGCAAGTGTGACCTACCAACGTAAAGGACATAGTGAATCTCATCATTTTTCCTGTAATGAACAGCTAGGAATGAATGAAGCACATTACCGTTCTAATTTAAAAAAAGATCTTAAGGAATGTTTCTTAGAAGAGCTGAGGAAGTCAGATATTTCCAATGTTATAACTAAGGAAGAATGGTTGTCTGTATTTGAATGGAACAGTAAATACCAGTGCGTCGAATTGGCTTGCACTGATCTAAGTGAAGTGTCACTTAGGTCATTTGCTAATGAAGTTTCCAATTTTAGAACTTCTCCAGTAAATTTCAATGACAATGGATTTCAGGGAGTCATTGATGCTATGGTAAAGTGCATTCCTTCCAATCTGTTAAAGTGCAACACACCAGTAGTCCGTATTAAGTGGAAAAAAAGTTGTTTTTCTGAAGGCTTTAAATGCAAAAACAGTGATGCTAAACAACCAATAGATGGAAAGAAATCAGAAGAATTCACATATGTTGGGAAGGAACAGTATGTAAAATATGGAAAGGAAAAATCTATGAATGCTGAAAAGAAAGAATTTGTAGATGTTACAAAACATAAATTCCTGGGTGCTCGGAAGGACGATTCTGTAAATGTTGGGAAAGCTATTCATGTCATTTGCAAAAATGGAACTAAATATTTTGCTGATCATGTGATTATTACATGTTCATTAGGATATCTAAAGAAGCACTCACAGACTTTATTTATGCCACAACTACCATGTAAACAATTGCATGCTATTGAGAATTTAGGATTTGGAACTGTGAACAAGGTCTTTCTAAAATTCAAATCTCCATTTTGGAAAAGCCAAGCAGACTTTTCTGGCTTCCAATTCCTTTGGGATGTTTCAGAAAATTGTGATGATGAATGTGAAGAAACTGAATTGAAGTTTGGCAATGTGTCAAGAGATCAAAGAAATAGTCATTGTTTGTTTGACGTAGAGGGCTCTTGGTTCAGATATATCAAGGGATTTGATACGATTGGAGGGTTTCCGTGTATTCTTGTTGGCTGGATTTCAGGAGCAGCAGCAGAATACATGGAAACTCTTTCTGAACAATTTGTTGGAAAGGTAATGTTGTGTCAATAACTTAGACTAGCAATAGCAAAGTAGCAAATAATTATGTCTTGCACTCTGTCTTGCATGTTCTTTGTGTCCTGTGTTAGGTGTGTATCGAGTTACTGTCCAAGTTCTTGAAGGATACACAAATTACAGATCTGGAATGGGTTAAATGTACAAGATGGAAAAGCAGTCCTTACATACTTGGTTCGTACTCCTATGCATCAGTAGATGTGTGTGGCAATGAATATGATCAGCTGGCAGAGCCCATTCCAAACGTACAGGTATGACAGTTCCGTAGTTCAATATTTATCTGCTATTAAATTCCATCAGTAGTCAAACATTTATGTATTGCGATCCCTAGAACACTAGAATGTTTTTGTAGTAAATTTCCATATAGTACATTTGTTCACTATAACGATTAAATTTGATTTCTTTCCCCATCAGAATCCTATGATGATGTTTGCTGGAGAGCATATCCACCCAGAATTTTATTCTACAGCACATGGTGCAATGGAGACAGGAAAAACTCAAGCGAACAGATTGATTCAGTATTACAAAGAAAATTAATACTGTACTGTACAATAATTATTATTGAAATATGTTGCTTGGGAGATGAAAGGGATTAAAACGAAAATTATATTACAGTACAATGTATATCATAATATTTGAGATAGAATGCTACTGAATGTGACCACCATACAGTATCATGTTTTGTGTATTAATATTACAATACAGTACTGTAGACTTTTATCGTGTGTTGTGTGTGAACATAGTCTATAGGTTTGTACTGTATGGTCTATGCATTTCTTAGCTACATCATAGTAGACTTAATGGCTTTGCCGAGTTCATCGTTTGAGAACATACACAGTGTAATGATGTAATGTTAGCAGGAAGCCATATTACAGCACTGGTCTGTACAGCACTGTAGTTTAATTGAACTGCAGTATGTAAAATTATGAGATTTTATTTTAAGGTCTTCAATTGGTACTAGATTGTACATTGCAACTGAAAGTCTACACCCATCCAAGCCGGGCAGTCAAAGAAAACCGATTTTTCTAAAACACTTAAGGGGTGTTTCCCTCACTTTAAATATTCAAAAATTTGAATAATTTCTAACTAATAAAATCTTACTAACTGTTCGCAGGTTCTTCATCCATCACTCCCTCAACGTCTTAGAAAAATCGATTGTTCAACACACCTCATTTCTCCAGTTTTCAAATATTAAATAATTTGTATCTTATTTGCCAATCTAACAGTTTTTGGCAAACATCACTATTTCTTGACTACCAAACACATAGTAAATAAATAACACAAAACAGCTTATTTCTCCATGTGTGTATTTTTTAAATGCTCATTGAATTTGTAATAATTACAGTACACTGCTATAAACTTTCTATTCCTTGTCCTTGATCTTCTTGGTTCCTCTAAGTCTACCAGTACGACGAGCAGCGATCAAACCGACCTTGCGACCAGCTGAAGTATCTCTTCTGACGGTTGAAGGTGCACCAATATGCTGATGGTTACCACCACCATGAGGATGTTCCACAGGGTTCATGCACACACCACGTACAGTAGGCCAGCAGTTTCTTTTGGCCTTGTATTTGTGGTAGGCTCGACCAGCCTTGAGCAGTGGTTTGTCAATACGTCCACCGCCAGCAGCAATACCTGGAAATGGGATTTTGATAAACGTTACATTTACGAACATTACTTCTACTGGTTACTGGTCACCCTACCACACAATGTCAAGGCTTAGTATGACAGGATCCTAACATCTCATTCCCACCGAGTTCCATAATGTGTACGATGCTAACTTTACCTTTAAACTGAAAGCACATTACATTCATTTGCAATTTTTTTTTTTAATGACGTGTTTTTGCTGTAATTTTAAGAGATGCAAATAAATCAATTCAAAAATCAGATGTTTGTATTCGAATAAACAACGGAGGTTTTTAAACACACCATCTGCCGATAATTTTTTACAATAATTTTAGGCTCAAGGTCAATGAAGTTTATTAAATGACCACCGTTCACAAGACAAATATCCAAGCAAGATGGTCTACATAATCCAAGTCTCTTGACTGGAGTTGTTTTTGGTCAGAGAAAAAATTCTGTTACTGTGACTGAAATTGAACAGATGCCCATCACAACCATTAAATCTCCCTTTAAGAAACCTCTAATTCCTCCTCACATTACGTAGTGTATAAAGCATGTCCAACAGATTACTGAACTTGACAATCATGTGAAAGGATCTCAGGCAAGGGCCTAATGACACCCTCCATGTTTTGTTTTTTTCTTTGTCTATTAACTTTTCTAGATGGTTTTGGCAGAAATATTTTGCTAATTGCAAAATGCATTTTTCAGGCCTACTCTGACCATAGAGAAAATAGAACAGAAGGAGTAACATCGAGCGAAGATCAAAGGTACAGACCTCCTCGCCGCGATCGTAATTATCTCACCGTTACGTAACCTACTTGACAACAAGATAAGCAGAAATCGGCAAACGCGCATGCGTCGATAACTCGATTACAATCATAACATAGCAACGTATCGATCTCTCAAATAAGTTAGCTACAGTCTTATCATCACCACCATCATCAATAGAGCATAGAGTTTTGGCAAATATAACTTTTAACAATCTTCTAGAAACCATTCATAATGTCAGATGGAGGACACCTAAGTAAGTAGATTGATTATTTGCCAGGGGCAGCAAATCTTCAACACTTTTACAACCATGTGAAACTCGCACACAACTCCTGGATGGTTTTGGCAGAGCCATTTCCCTTAACACAACATAAATATATTTCAGGCCTCCTCTGACAATATCTCAAAAATAGTTTGCTATTCAATGTACAGTATAACATGTATGCATTTATGCAAGACCTGATAGAACAACTTGCAAAAATCATTACTTACCGACCATTGCACGGTTGGTGGAGTGTACAACCTTTTTGGCACCAGATGGCAACTTGATACGACTTTTCTTGGTGTCTGGATTGTGTGAAATAACAGTAGCATAGTTACCAGATGCTCGTGCAAGTGTACCCCGATCACCTGTTTTCTCCTCAACGGCGCAAACAATTGTTCCTTCTGGCATGCTTCCAATTGGCATCACGTTACCAATTGCAAGAGCAGCTGCAATAAATAATTTTAAATATAATGTTTTTAATTGTGTTTAATTTCACAATCGCATCAATGGGCAAAAATTGTCGACAAAAATATGATGAAGCAGATGTGGAAAAATGTTTGTAGGCAAAGAAGATTTTTATCATGTATTTCAACCATTTCAAATTTACAAACATAAATATACAAAAACACATTAACATGGTAGGATTGTAAAATTATTTGCAAAGCACTTACAAATCTATACTTATATACATAAGATTATGGTATTTAACTTACAGAATTGTTTGAAAACGCAAAACAAGTAAAATTCAGGACATAATGTGGATGGCCAAAACTACTGATTGTGTCTCCGAATCATAAAAAAAAACAAAAGGTGAGCATCGGGCAGCAGAAACTTAAATGCCAAACAGTGGGTGGGATAAAGCATACGCAAGTATAAATTACTACTTGGTACCGTTTCACAACTGTAGTGCCTTAAAATCTGTGTAGGCTAATAATAAATACAGTTATCAATTATTTGTCACCCTTAAATTGTGTACACATTTGTATTACCAGTAACTGGCATTGTATTTAAATGGAAAAAGGAATTATACTGAAGATAATTATTTGAATATACCTTTCTTTCCACAGTATATGAACTGTCCTGTGTACATGCCTTCAGCAGCAATCATCAGTTCATTCCTCTTCTTGAACTTGTAAGGGTCACGGAATTGAACACGAGCAAGTGGAGCACCACGGCCAGGGTCATGTATTATGTCCTTTACACAAACAAAAAAACGATTCAAATTTCAACAAATAAGTATCTAATCATTGTAAATAATCCTTTAATACTAGATACATTCAGCTGCCAGTAGAATATTATCTATCCATAAATCAGAGAAGCTTTCTAAATTAAATAACAAAAGCATATCATAAGCACAACTCTGCAGATGTCAAAATTCTTATGCAGTGAATGGCTAATTTAAATTGAAAATTATACAGCCATGGAGTCTATAGTTTATTATTATTAATAATATACCCAATAAAATGTCAAAATAAGCATGATTACAGTAGCACATTTATGCTTATCATTGTATCAATTATTAGCTAATGTTTAACTTGTAAAATGTCAACTTGTTGAGTCAATCCAGATGGTACATTTATAATAATGGCTAAAGCCACATCAAGTGGTCATCTCTAAACCTCTGGCCAATAAGATAAAATCTATACAGTAAATATAAAGAAAAAAAAATAAAATTTATACATTCATTTGATCAATAGAATAGCTAAAGAGTAGTTTTAAAAGAAATACAGTTTGCTTGTGAGCGACAGGGAAGTGTCATCCACAAATTGGTCAGCTCCATATGAAAGAAGAGATGAGGCATACTGTATACTGTATATGACGCTTCCATGTGGAACTCCTCTAGTAGGAGGCCCAAAACCGACTCAGTACCCCTAAAACTATCTTGGTTTAGAAATATGAAAAAAAAAGTAAACCAAAAACCTATTTTATTAACCTTTACAATCCCTTTGATGTATCCATGTCTTTCAGCAAAATCAATAGTTCTGAGCCGTGCTGGACCTTTTCTGTGCTTGTTGTGAGACTTGAAGACGCTTCCAGCGCCCTTACGCTGGCCTCGGATAACACGTCCCATGGCTTCACTATAACCAAGAATACATTAAACAAACAATTAGAATTTCATATTAAGCAAATCCCAATCATAAAACATTAAAAAATAATGCAATTTGACTGTTATGCTTTGCTCCTTTACACCAATTTTATAATGTAAAAATAGGCTCCCTGCAGAAGTGTGTGTCTACAGATAGTTCTTGTCTAGTACTTTTTTTTTGGGCTACTTTCAAGTCACAAGTCTGCCAGAAGGCCTATCCATACAATAGTTTGATTCGTTCTAGGATGGGCTAGGCATTTTATTTCTATCTTTAGCTCCTGACCCAATGACAGGTAGCTCATCATTCCTCCAACCAAATTTACTTTTACACCAAAAATTCTTACAATTTACAATGATCATAGCAAAGTGTCTACTACCCCGCAAGAGGGACAAAAAATTGGGCCAATTTGTTTTAATTAATCAAAATCAATTTGTTGGCAAAAGGGCATCCATGCAACTTTCCAGCTCACCTACCTATTTTGGAATTTAATGTACAATTTGAATTAAGTGGGTACTGAATTATAGTTTAAGAATACAACAGTACTATACTAACAAATCTGTACTTGTCAACAATAATGGCACACACTACTTCTTGCTTAACAACAGCACAAAAGACTGTATAGCAGGATTGTTTTTTTTTTCAATCACAAAGTCATTTATTCATCTTTTAATTCAAAAATTTACAAAATTTCTATTTAAAGTCTTTGTTTAAAAATAGCCTTTACTGTACATTTTAATAAAAGGAAACTACAAATATTGCTAGTCTATTGTATAGGCCTAGTGTGATTTTATCTGTTGTTACATTGGAAATAACAGCTTCCTATTTAACCATCATAGGCCTAACTTAGTAGTACTACAGTACTACCAGACTTCTCAAGTACGGAACTTCCGTAGTTTGGCCTATTTTCTACCGAAATTTTTTAAAATTATGGACGTACGGAAATAGAAAAAATACTACAGAAATTTATCACAGGTCTAGACCCATATATAAAAAGAACAGAACAAATTACTTTTCCATCAGACCTTTACTTACATTGTCCCTAGACAACTTGTACTTGTCAAATTACTGATAAATTATTGTGAAATTTTCAAATAATTGTAACTCCATGCTAACATCTTGCACTCAACAAGGCAAATTATTAGGTTTTGCTACAGAAATTTTTCATATACTACGGAGATCTAAAGATATACCTAGGCCCCTAGTCACAGAAATGCATTGACATTGTACGAACCTGAGTGTAGAGTAGGCCCTACGGTAGGGCAGGAAGAGTTCAGAGGACTGCCTTGGCCTAGTTAGTAGTAGAAGTATTAGGCTAGGCTTAGCCCCCTGTAGACTTGGTAGTAGGCCTCTCTGGGGGAATAGGCCTAGCCCTGCTACTACTAGCTAGGCCTACTACTACTAGCTTAGGCTATATAAATATATTTATTTAGGTTGGCCTAATTAGAACTAGTTAGTATTACTATTATTAGGCCTATGGCTAGCCTTGTAACACCTTAAAGCTGGTATGAAAGAAAGAAACAGCTACTCCTAATATCAAAAATTACCGCCTACCTAGCTAGGCCTAGGCCCTACCCTACCTACTTAATAAAGCACAACTGTATGTGGAGGACATCACAAATGGAGCATTGAAGCATAGCGGTTAAGACGAAAATTTACATGCTAAAGGATATCCACTTATTAAAATAAATAAAACATAATAACTTCAACATAATAAACCATAATTATTTGTTTTTTATTTAACAAAATCGTATACAATGATTAAAAGAAGAAAATTGTGATTTTTTGTGATACAATTATCAGTACAACAAAACATATATGTATACCTTGCCAATAAGGATTAAAAGAGACAGGTCAAAGTGTAAAGGAAAATTAGATAAATTCTTGAAAACATTATTACATTTAATGAATAAATAAATGATGTATTTAAATTGTCTATAAAATCATAGGTTTCGTCAATAATAATTTTCTAAAGGTTATCTTTAAGTTTAGTAATTTTTATCTTCTTTATTTGGTAGCGATTTCAATTAACATGTCTACACAATTTCCGGTCTCATTCTTTCTCCTCTGTGTGCTGCCGAGAAAGAAGCCTCTCTCATAATTTCACTAAGATCACTTTTAGTCAAATAATTTCAGTTATGAGTAATGGACCCAACCAAAATGGACCAAGTCTTGAACAGCAGGTACTATATTAACAGCATTTTATGGTTAAAATAAGTAATGTGTCCCAAAATATTCTTAATTGTAAATTCTTTTTAGTGGTTTGCATCCAATGAATGCAAGTTTTGTTTTAGCTGGGGATCCACTCACGTTGGGTGGCATTACCATTAGGCAGCTAGGCCTAGTGAGGGGCTATAGAATAGGCCGGTGTAGGCCCTAGGAGGACTGAGGCCTAACCTTTTTTGATTTTAGGACCGTTCACATTTCATAAAATTTACTACGGCTAACATTTTACAATCCAATCATAAAGCAGTACTAATTTTAAATTGCCATATAATTGATTTTCTTAATGCCGGATTGATATCTAGGAAGGATACTATTACTACTAGGCCTAGGCCTATACTAAATAAATACTACTACAAACTAGGCCTAGGCCCTAGGCCTATTTGCTGCAAAGCAGCCAATTCATATTCTTGACAGCAATTTGACCTCTGAAAGGTCATTGTTTGTCAAAAATCAAGGGCCTAAGACGACTGAAAAGCGGAGTTTCCTTCTTTCGTTCTGCCGGGTAAAATCAATTATTTAGGCGACGTTTGTAGACTAACCAACGTCCGCATGTCGCGCTAGCCTTATACTACTCTAGGCCTAGACTAGCTAGGATGGTGTATAGGCCTAGCCTTGAAGGGACGAAGGTCCCAATGAAAAACAATGTCGCTCCTTGATAGCTAACATTGTCTATTTAACATCACAATAATTCATTATTAGACTTATATAGTTGTTTTTTGAATTGTACACCACAAATCTCAGCCGATACCTCGCACAAATCGAGTAAAATCTCGTAGTCTTATCTATTGTCGTGACGTCATGGCTCGCTGGCTCACACTTGCGATGTCTCGCACTTGTGATCAAATAACACGAAGGCTCGCACTTTGACAACACTCTTTGGC